TCATTCATTCAGTCAGATAGTCAATAAGATAGTCAGTCAGTCGGCAATTAGTTGAAGGCACAAACAAATCTCGCATCTGAATGAACTTTTTTCATCATTGGTGCTGCCGTTGGTGTTATTGTTGCTGCTGCTGCTGTTGTTGTTGTTGTTGTTATTGTTGTTTTATATGCACAAACCGACAAATTATGAAGACATGTGCCTTTGTACATGAACATGAGCATGTTCATGAATTTGAATTTATGGCATACCGCACGATAAAGTATGTATAATTATTACCTGTTCACTGATTTTCAATACACTCTGCCAATTGGCTGCACGCGCTTTGCCCGAACAGTTTTCAAATTTCACTTGCAATTAAAAGATACTTATTTGTTTTGTTGTTTTCTTTTCCTTTTTGTTTTTGTTTTTGTTGCTTCTTTTGTAATTGGCATTCAGCCATAAACGGATTGCTGTTGCTGCTGGCTGCCGTTTAGTTTGGTTTGGATTCGTGGAAACACATTAATTTGCAATTGAAAAGATTATTAAAATACACGCACACACACTAGGCACACACACACACACACACAGAGACGGTCGGAGGCGCGTATAACTATCAATATAAATCACAATATATTTGCCGATAAAAAAATCAACGTGCGTTCATTTAAGCAACCGACGGGAGAAAAGCAACAAAACATTTCCAATTGGAAGTGCTGCTTTAGCTTTAGCTGCTGCTGCTGCTGCTGCTACTGCTACTGTTTGATATGGCGCTGCATAGATATAGATACGATATGGGCCAGTCGGTTGGCCAATCTGACGGGCACTCAGTCAGTGAGTCAAGCAGTGAGGAATGGAAAAACGCAAGTACATTTTTTTTTTTTTGAATTTTATGTTGTGTACAACAAAGCGCTGTGTGTATGTACACCAAACAAGCAAACCCGTATCTGAGCCGCAACCAGCGTGTATCTATCAATTCGACCGAAACTGAACTAAAACTCTCAAGTGTGCAAAAATCCTACATAAGTGAAATTTCGTCTTCGTCTCCGTCGCCATCGACATCGCCTTCGTTTATGGTTGCCAGAGGCAGCCTCAGGAACAGCAGCAGCACCAACGGCAACAGCAACAGAAACAGCAGCGGCAAAAGCAAAAGCAGAAGTTTACTCACGCGTTTATGCTGAGCAAATGTTGGTATCTGTGACTCCGTCTCCGTGCGTGGTGCTCGGGCACTGTATTTATATGTACGGCAGATACACAACAAACAAACATGCGTTTGTCATGGCTTGTTGCATGCTCGGAAGCTTGACGTTTCAGCTTTTTGGCAGGCAGCCAGGCAGCATCGACAATGTTGAGATACAAAGCCAATAGAGAAAGCTCAACACTGATAAGGGTGGTTGAACGGCTGAGCCCACCGACGAATGTCGAACAGGGATGCCAAAGCTAAGAGAAAAACTGAAAGCTCGGGCTGGCGCACATTTTCGAATTTCAATATCCTCATTACGAGTTGCTTCAATGATTTTCTCCATCCAGTTTTAAGCCCGAAACCGACTTTCCTTTGCCTTTGCCTCAAAAAGTATGCTATGAATAATTTACGCGCAGACGCAATGTTGAGAAGCGAATGCTGCGTGAAATGCCAGCAACAAGTTGCTGTTTGTCTGGACACACACAGAGACATGAGGCGCAGCTTTTATGCTCCGCCATAGACAACTGTTGCGTGTGGCCGCGTGCGTGAGAGCCGAAGGAAAGAAACAGTTACGATGTGACAAACACACACACATACACATGCACGCACAAAATGCTAAACATAAACAGGTCGCCGATGTGTACTAAAAAGCCACAATTGCTTAGCGCTCAACAAATTCCATGTACATCTATTTATGTATGTATGTATGTATGTATGTATGTATGTATGTACGCGTATGTATTGAGGCATTTACAATTTTACATTTTCGTGTTAGGCTTAGTGCGTGTATTGGAAAATAATAGGGACGCACAAAGGAGGAAAAGGGCAAACGGCTATTTTGCTTTATTTATCCACACACAGTGTGCGAATGTATATGTATGTATGTAAGTATGTATGTATGCACATTTGTGTAGCAGCGGCACATTATATAAAATTTATAAATACTCCTCAAGCACCGGCACGCACTTTGCCATGTGTTCGTGTGTATGTATAGTATATGGCATATGTATGTACAATGCATGGGTGTCTCTGTGGCAGTGTTAGTGTAAGTTCACCTCCAATTTGAACATCAATATTCCCAGGCGCCAATGCTGACTTCCTATTGTCTTTGTCTTTCTGTTTTCTTTTTTCTCTCCTTGTTTATTATTTTTCTTTCCGGCTAATTTGTGTAATGTTTCCTTTGTTCAGCAATTGTTTTTCAACTGTTTGTGGGTGCAGCAAGTAGTTCTTGCTTCTGTAGCTGTTAACTTAAGCTCCTTAGATGCAACACTTGTTATGAGCGCATGGCTTTGCCAAACTGCCGACATTACCTTGAGAAAAGTTTTCGACGCAACTTTCATTTCAAAGTTAAGCGAAAACTAGCTGTGGCAAGTTTTCAATATAAGCCTCGCCAGCATATAAATAAATACGCGTTAAGTAAACAGAAGACGCTCGCTAATTACAGCAATTTCGACGATAGGCTCGAAGTGCGCCGAATCCAATTATTTATTTTTTTGGTAAATCAACTGGTAATTCAGCTATGCGCTTTGACGCTTTACAAATAGATATAAAGGCATCTGAAAATAGGCAATGAAAGGAAATCTGCTTATGTCCATTAATATTGTTCTTTCTTTTAATAACGACGCTGGTTTTTATAAATCTATTCAAGTATATTTAATTATAGCAAACAAAGTTTTTAAATTTTTAATTGTTGAAGGACTAAAATAATTCAAATATTTTTCCCATTTTCTGTTTATGAAATATGTACTTATCTTTAAGAAGTCGTAATCACAACTCTAAGTTTGTATTATTCGTAAATATCTAAACAAGACTTAGTAATCCATTTTATCATCATATTTTGGCTTTATATAGAAAAGCCTCAATGAATATCTCTGTTTCTTCAGAGCTGCACAGTTATGCGAATTGAATGGGGAATCCAATTATCCCGGCAAACCTCTTAGTCGATACAATTTCTGGTTGGAGAGTCGAACAAACTTACCCTTCTAAATAGATATATTCCGTTTTAAATATCCTAACAAAATAAACTATTAACAAATTTAACTACTTTTCTTTGTGGCTATACGGATTTTTCACCTCCACAGTATTTCGATTTCATTACTATTTAGTAAACATTTTTATTTTTTGACATTGATTTTAAAGTACATTAACTAGTACTTTTGAAAGGACTTTCTTTTATTCCTGAAAGTTAAAAGCTTATGCTGAAAAGTCTGTAAATGGCAGATCTCTGTAAATATCGCCCTTACATGATTTGATGATATGATGATGAAATTAACGAAACTTATCGTAATACACCTATCCGCCTGTCTTTGCATTTGTGCATTTGAGTACTGAGAACTTTTTAACCATATAACAATTAGGTATACTACTGTCACATCTCAGATATAAATCATCTTTACAAATCATACATAGCCTCATTATTATATATAGCGCTGGCAGCATTATTGGTACAGAACCGTTGTGTTTATCATGATAATTAAATAAGGAATTTATGAGTTTTTTATACGAGTGATGCGCTATTGTATTCAAGAGTCGCGTCTTAATTGAATTATTACGTCAAAAGAGCCATTGGAACAATCTAGTTTTAGGACTTCAGCAAGCAGTCCAATACTTGGTAGTTAAAACAGCAATGAGTATTTCGGATACTTTGCTGCCTAAAATTCAGTTAGATTATCTTATGATTATAAAGAGGGCTCTTCACATGTATAGTATACTATATGTATACTGTATTGGAAGGACATAATTGTCATAATAGTCCCGCTGTCTGTTGTATTATTCTCATCAGTCCACACATCTGTTCTCATCCTCATTTTTCAATGGAAGTTTTGCAGTTAAATTAAAATAAATATTATAATGTAATATTAGTTGTTGTCATTACGTTTATTGAGGGACCTATCATACAGAAAGAAATATTATCCGGAATTTCATTTAATTGCCATTTATTGTGTGTGACAAAGCACACTTCATTCAGCAAGAGTTGATGTTACGTGCGTTGCGAAGAACTTTTCCCACAGCCAGAGGTCTGTAATTTGTGGGTTTTAATGTGTCAGCAGTTGCGGTAAGTGGTTGTTGTTGCCACAGTGCCACCTGCACACACACACCCGCACACACACACACACATCCAAACAAGCACATCGTCATGGCAATTTCAACAATTTCACGCATCCATTGTTTTGAACAACATTTGTTTTTCATCACTTTATATTGTTAGTAGCAAGTATTTTTGTATATTTTACAGAGTGTGTGCGTTTCTGTGTGTGTGTGTGTGTGTGTGTGTGTGTGTGTACTATACATACACTTTCATATTGTGTACGGAAGTTTTTCATGATTCTGCTCCGCCTGTCTGGCTGGCTGGCTGGCTGTCTGCTTGCAGATTATAATCTACTGCCATTTATGCGTGTTTATGACTTTCTCTCCAGCCGCCACACAACAAATTCATGGTGGATGGAGGAGTGGGGATAGGGGTGGGGGCAGGGCAAGTGCCCCCAACAAAAAAGGGCAAGCGCAAATATTTTCGTTTCATAAAAAACAAGATATAATCTTTTGCAACAAATGCTGCCTCGCGGTGGCACGGGCCCAGTGAGTGCTTTCTCTGTTACTTGATGGCTTTGTGTCTAAGGCGGTGAAAGCTACACGTCCTTACCGCCCCCCTCCCTCGCAAAATTCCTTGTGCTTGTCAAGCATTCGTCCATCGACTGTCCAGCTCCACCGTCCCCGCCCCCGCTCCCCGACCGTGCACCACACGCCAGATATTTTGTGGCCAATGTGGCAAAGTTAATTAGCAGCCATATTTATGACCGACTTCAGACGCCCAGAGACGACGCACCACACAAAGGCATTACGATTGAATTGAACTAAAATTAAATGGATTTATTATTCAATAAATTGAACGCTTACAATAATGTGTGTATTTGTTGCTACTATATGCTGCTGCTGCTGCTGCTGCTGCTCGGCTTTAGAGCAGAGAGTGAAGTGCGTTGCGTAAATACATTTTATGACAATACATCGATATTTTTACGGATAATAATGGATACATACTTGTATGTATGTGTACGTGTATGCGTGTATGTGTGTATGTGTGTGTTTCTCTGTATGCTCTTACAACTATATAAAGATATTGTAACTAAGATATCCTAATGCATATATTTATTTATATACTTGTATAAGTAGTATGTACACACAAGCCTTGAAGCTCAACAAATGAAGCCTGCCCCCAGACGGCAGATAATCAATTAATGAATAATTTAAAAAAAATGTAAAACATTCAACGCTAAAACAAACTCTAAACTTTAAGGTAAATGTAAATGTTTGCAGATTTAGAAGCAATGCCAGTTTTGAAGCATGGTTTTCGACTAATTATACATATTTGTTATACTTGTAAGTTTTGTGAAATGTGTTGTTGTTGTTGTTTCTTTTTTCCATCTTTTTAAATGTTTGTAATTTAATGTAATGTAATTGTTTGCTTAATTCTAGGCCTCCTATAATTTATAATTAAATACATACTCGTTAGCTTGTCTTTTATGCAGATGTGTGGAAATTAAACAGACATATGTGTGTGTGTGTGTGTGTAGAATAACTGCTGTATATATAGTATGTGCTATATGATTCGTTTATTTGTATTTCTAGTAGTTATACATATATGTTAATAAGATACAATGAAGGATTATGATGGCTGGGAGGATGGCTGGGAGGATGGCTGGGAGGATGGCTGGGAGGATGGCTGGCAGGGATGTGGGGATGAGTGTCTGGGGGGATGGGGGGATGGTTATGGGAATGGGGAGGCAGTGTCTGCCCGTTCAATTGTTTACAGCAACCGCCAACAGCCAAGCTTTTCTTCATTTTGAATGCGCACGTCGTTTAACTGTCAAACACTCATTAGCCCTACAGCCCTAGTTCTATACACATACATATCTATATAGACGTATGAATGTTTGTGTAGCTATACATACATACATACATATGTAGGTATGTATGCCTCTGTGTGTGTCAATGCCAATGTGTGTGTGTGTGTATATTCATTTATTTACATGGGACGCAGCCGTTTGAAATCTGTGCTTTGTATGTGTGTGTGTGTGTGAGTGTGTGAGTGTGGGTTTCCTTTCTATGCCTCGTCTCTGCCCTCTGTTCTGTTTATTTTGTATTTTTCTGAAAAATATGACTTTGGTATTCCTCAATACATCGTAGTACTTGTATGTTCCACTCCTTGGCGCACTCCTCTACGAACTGACCACAGCATCCTTGAGCAACGGCAGACCCACACCCACACCCACACCCACAGTCGCCGCACCATTTAGAATGGCATTCGAGTCCGATTGCTCGGTCTTTATTGGCTCGCCCGTTGGTTCGTCCCCAGATGCTGGCGTCGACTCCAACGCTGAGGCTGTCGCCGCCGTTGCTGTTGCTCCGTCAAGGCTGGGCTCCTCAGCAGTTGCTGGTGCTGTGGCGTCCTCGTCGGCTGGCCCTGTGGATGCCTCGTTGTCGTCATGGCTTGCCACATTGGCCACCAGGACGCCCGAATACTTAATGCCGTTGAGCTCGAGATTGACAATCAACTGTTGCTCGCCGTTCTCGCCAGTGCCTGCAATACGTTGGGGGAAAGAATAATTATATATTTCAGATGTGTGCATGGGCGGGGGCATGGGGGGGTGGCACATACCATTGCGAGCCACTTGGAACTGCATGCCGGAGAGCAGGCTGAGCGTCTCTAGCGGACTGAGCTTGCTGGCTGCACATTTGTCCGCCTGCAAATCCTTGGAAAGGGACTGCGTCTTGCCGACCGTCTTCTTTTTGGTCGAAACCGGAGAGCTGTGACGATTGCCGCCCGATGCCGACGTCGAGGTGCTGGGAGAATTCTCAATGGCCGAGTCATCTGATTTGTCCAGATGATTGTTGTGATGATGATGATGATGGTGGTGGTGATTGCTGTGGTGACCATTCAGCTGCTGCGGCTCGCTGTCATCGTGCAGGGACGACGAGTTGCCCGTTGTGTTGTGCTCCCCACTGCCGTACTCGTCCTCCGGCTCGCCCTCGGACGCCGCATCCGGCTGATGGCTGTTGGCCTGATGGTGGAAGCCTGCTGCTGCCGCCACTGCGGCCATGTTGTGTGGATTTAAGTAGAAATTGGCTGGGAAACCTGGCGGCATCAAAGTGTTGCCCACGCCCACGCGCTTGGCTGGCGGCGGCTGGTGCGGTGCATCTTCCTCGATTGGCTCCGGCGTGGGGTCGCGCTCTCGTTCACGCTTTATGTTTGTGAGATTCGGCGGCGAGTCGGAGAGGTTCAAAGCTTCGCTGTAAATTTATTTAAATTATTAAGGCCATTAGTGTTATTTTGTATTTTAAAAATAAACAAATTAAAGACTTTGAATGCACATTTTTAAATCCGTAAAATCTACCACGAAAATTCGTGGTGAGTTGCAGTTGCGGATTGCTTGGCTCAGGTGAAAAGCACAACTATAGTGGTGTGTGTCTGCGCTGTATAACAGTTACCGCTGGTATAACACATATTCAGGTCACGCTCAAAGACTGCGCATCGAAATTAGCAATCTATGCTCGTTTTCAAAACACATATAGAATATTTTGGAAACCATTTCGGGAAACTTTTCCACCCCAAGTGGTATACTGGTAGTTTCCGGAAACTAAAACGACTCTCAAAGGCCGAGTTTGCATTTTCTCAAACGCAACAATTTGCGTTTTTGTAATTCATGAAAATCTGTTTTGTTATACTTGTAGTCTGAGATGTTTTAACAGTTTCTATAGAAATTTTATTATGATTCATATACCCGCAGCTTTATAATAATAATTACTTTCCGACCATACCTCATAGTAAGTGATAGCTGATAATTTCTTTATACTCACAACTTGAAACACCTACAGTATGTTTTGCCATTTAATTGATTCGTAATGGATTTTATTGCAAGAATAACACGTTTCTGGTGAAAAAATGCGCCTACGAGGTAAAAATCCAATGCTAACCGATGCTGCACTATGAGCTGTTTCAATAGCAATGAATATTACACGATGCGGAATGAGATTACAAAAATGTTTATGTATTTTTTGTTATCCTGCATGTTTCGTTTAAATTTAAAATTGTCAAAACCCATACATTGTACGTTGAATAAAGGTGTTTATAATACATTTTTTCAGGACTGAAGCTGGGGCTACGAAAATGCCAATTAATGGAAGAATTAAATGTTCTCTGAATGCTACAATTGTATGTCTAATTGCGCTAAGAATAGTTTTCCCGAATTCTTCTAGTTTCTTCAATCCTGACAGACAATCCATAGTATCAGTAAATAACTTTCTTTACGACTGAAGCTCAGATTAAGAAATTACTAATTAATGGAAGAATTAAGTCTTCTCTGGATGCTACAATTGTATGTCTATTTTTCCTGAAAATAGTTTTCCCGCATTCTTTAAGTATTTGCAATGCTGACACAGAAATCCGTATTTTCCTTAGTAACTTTCCTAAAGACTGAAGCTGGGGCTACGAAAATGCCAATTAATGGAAGAATTAAATGTTCTCTGATAGTATCGGTAAATAACTTTCTTTACGACTGAAGCTGAGATTAAGAAATTACTAATTAATGGAAGAATGAAATCTTCTCTGGATGCTACAATTGTATGAATAGTTTTTATAATTCATTTCTGCATTCTTTAAGTTTCTGCACTCCTGACACAGACAATCCGTACTCTCAATTAGAAAACAAAGTCCAAGTGCATTCGGTTCTTAATAGATAATGGGTTAACCTGGTAATACAGCAGGTGGTTTGATTCGTCCGTTTCGAGCAAAATCGTAATATAAATATTGTTGTGAACTATTCCCTTACCGTTGCTGCTCCGCATTGACTCCGAATTGTGGCGAGGTGTGCGCCGAGTTCGGTGGACTCGTGTTGTTGTGGTACATGTGCCAGAGGGCTACCTGTGCGCTGAGCGCCTCGCGAGTGCTCATCTCGGGGCTCTGGGAGCGTTGTCGTTGCTGTTGGTGCTGTTGTTGTTGTTGCTGCTGCTGCTGATGGTGGGGAGTGGCGGCGAGAGCACCCGGACCCTGGTTGCCGCCCACACCCTGCTCCTTTTTCGCCTGAATGAGCTGCAGATACTCCATCATGCGGTTCTCGATCTCCTGGGTGACCAGATTGGGCATCTGTCCGAATGCCGGGGCACCCATTAGGCGACGGTGGGCGGCTGCGGCGGCGGCCGCTGCCTGCGCCTGCTGATTATTGGCGGCTGCGGCATGTGTGACGAGCGCCAGAGGCGACATTTGTTGCATGCCACCCGGCAAAGGTGGGCGGGAAATGGGAGTCTGCAATGTCAGTAAAATGATTGCTTTAGTTCTCTGCTAGAAATGTGAGCTAACGGGTCCGCCCCACTTACCAGTGGCATCTGATTGTGCATGGCCTCGTATTGGCCGTAGCTGGAGCGGCGTCCTTCGCGCCGATTGCCATCAATCGCCGCCTGCAGTTCGGCCGGTGTGCTTAAGTTCTTCTTCTCGCATTCGTACGGATAGAGATACTTCATGTATCTGCAAGATGCATTTAATTTATTAATAAGCGACGCAAATATGCGTGTGCGTGTAAATACGCGCATGGAGTGCAAGTACAACAAGGCAAGGCTCTAGATCCTGGCCGACGACTTTTAGCTTGAATTATCGTGTAAATACGAAAGCGCAGTGCAAACAAATCAAAAGAAGAGGCAGCGACGACAAAAGGGTGCAGGCCCAAGCTGATCGATTGCCGCATGATTGACAATCAACTGTGCTATTTGATTGCCAGGCACAACGAATTGGCCAACGAAAGCCAGCCTGCCTGGCTGCCCGGCTGCCCGGCTGTCTGCTTGCTGACCAGTTCTCTTCAGTTTTGTTTGCTCTGCGTTCGGTTGATTGTTTGATTTGTGCATAGTTTCCTAGCAGGTGCCTGCAACTACGCTACACTCAGAGAAAACAGGAAATAGTATTTAAAACTAAAAAAGGGCTCTTACGGTGAGATATCAGGTCGATATCGACATACAGCTGAATTCTCAAACTGCAGCCTTACATTCTACTCAAAAAAGGTGTGTTAGGATCCTGAGGAAATCATTTCACTTAAGAGACCGTCCTGAGAAAGAACTCGGGAATTGGCCCTATCTTTTATGCAGACTCCAGACTCCATCTACATAGTACTCGCGTATTACATAAGAATTGTTCAGTGTTGAGTGCGACTTGTAGTATGTTTCTGAGCTTGTGAATCTTGCTTATGGTTAGTAGGTTTCCTTTCTAGGGTATACGTAGGTAATCGGGGTCTGAACTTACTGTGTGCGCAGCGTGAATGCTGCACTTGTGATGCTCGACGGCAGATGCAGTCCCTTTATGATCTCCTGCCATAGCTTCTTGTTGATGACATCGACGAGGCCGCCACGAGCAATCACCAAATTGTATAGCTCGTATAGATCCAGCACCGACTTCGCCATTATCGGCAGCCGGTTGATGGGCGTACCTGTGTGAATGCTCCATAGGATTAAATGCGATTCATAAAATAGAGAGTGTCTGTCTGTCTGTCTGTCTGTCTGTCTGTCTGTCTGGCTGTCTGTATGTGTGTGTGAGTTTCCACTATAAATTGCCGCACTTGAGTGTGTAGAATGTAAATGTTTTTCAATGCGCTCGTTAAATGCACCAATAAGCAAAACACGATTACAAGACACATAAAACAGATTTATCGTGTAGAGGCGAGAAGAGACCAAAATACATACATATGCTCGGCAACTGCCGTTTCGATGCATCTGGTAGTATGCTCTACAGTACAGTTCGAGTAGTTGGATCTACGACTCTCTCAGGCATGGAGCAATTAACACCATGCCTGAACCCGCCATCAAGTGCTAGACAGTGCGCACTGCACAGATAAAAACAGAAATAAATCCTAATTGTTGGTTCTACATACACATGTTTGTACATATGTCGATCTGTTTATGGCAGCTAATCATCATCATCATTGACTTCGGCATCCACCTCCACATCTACATCCACATCGGTTCTATCTTGCAACTCATTAAGTATCAAAAGATTCGATTTTCACGTGTTTTCGGCAGTGGGTGCCCAATAATTGACACTGCGCTACATAAAAGTGAAGGCTCTACGTTTTTTCCAATTCAAAACACTAACAGACATCATTTAATGAACATTAATGAACAAAATTGATCATCAACAAGGAGTCCCACATTATGAAAGGCCCTCAGGGCTATCTGTAGCCCAAAACCATTTAAAAATGCTATAAATATTAGTCTATGCTGAATAAGTTTTAACAAGTTATTCATGAAAAATCTGGATTTTGACACCAAATCCAATAAGACAAGACTATTAACATGGAAATTGTGTATGCTATATATTTTGTTGCTGGAGCGTTAATTTCTAGTTACGAAAGCCTTTGAAAAAGCTTTTTGTTATTTGAAATTCTCTTCGGTGCCAAAATATAATTAAACCAATAAATACTCTACACTTTAGAACACGAAGTCTACCTTTCAATTCAAGTATTTGGTCGGCTTATGTTTGTATCCCTTGCGCTTTTATCCAGTAGGGAGTCCTTTTACTCCTTATCTCCTGTATCTTGTATGCCTTTAAGTACGTATGACAAATTTCTTGTTTGAAACTAGTGTTTTGAGCTTCTTGTAATTATGTAGAAAGATTGAAATGTTGTCAGTTTCGTTAAGCAACGAATGACGAAAAAAGATCGCATTCAAGAAATAGAGTTTCGTACGAAAAGATGATTTGGACACTCTTTAACTTGTTATTCCTTACGCAATTGAAAAGGTCTTCCATTCTAAAAGTATATCTTCTTCGATCGGGGATCGGTTGCAAGCTGTCTGCTCAAATCGAATTGAAGATTTGGAGTCCGTAAGGGGCACAACACTCTGTACTTTCTTCTATAAAAGTGAGCGTTAGATTGCAGCAGATGCTATTGATAGGCAACCGAATGGGATAACACCTTCAGATGTAATTGACAAGAGATATATTCTTCAAGCGATTGAACTTGAGAAATATTTACCACAATAGTTGCCGTACTGGTCTTTTCATCTGGTTTCGACTTTAAGGTCAACAAAGTAGATTAAAAAACTTGTTAGGCAGTGTTGTTCGATAAGAGGCAAGTGATTTTATTGCATTCATTTCAATTTTATTGCATTTCTTTATGAACAATGAACAAATCAGTCGATGGAAGTAAACAAAGAACAAGAGTAGGAGCTGCTGAGCCGATAAGACTAAACTGCTTTCGTCCCCCTGCCTTCGGCAACACACTTAATTCGAATAAAATGAATGCTGCTGATGCAAAAAACAAAATCAAAATCGCCCTGATGGATGTTAGATCCAGCGATGGATCGCTCCGGGTCCGGGTCCGGGTCTGGGCTCGGCACACGCATAGCAAACGAATCAGCTTGCATAATTGCTCTGCATGTACGTGAGTAATTCGATTTTGTATAAGATTTCGATTTTTTACGATTATTATTATTGAATGCTGCCGCTGTTAGATCGTTTCTTCTCTCCCCCCTCCCCCTCTCTCTCTCTCTCTCTCTGTCTCTGTTTTTTACAGTATTTTGTGTTTTTATGAGCGCCTAAAGGAATCAATCAAACTGCTTTGATGGACGTGTTGATTGAATGAAAATACGTTTTTGTTTTTATGCATATAAACAAATGTAAGCCGGCCAGTTGGTCGAACAGTCGATCGGTCGATCGGTCGATCGGCCAGCGGGCCAAGACAGCAGAGCCGAAATAACAGAGAGCGATCAATTTGATCGACTGCACCACAAAACAATTTATAATGCGAGTAACAAAAAAGAGGACAAGCGTCCGAGGGGCCAGCAGGATCAGTGCACGAGCCACAAAGCATAATCAATGGCAATTTAATGATTAACTTTGTTGCACAGTCTGCGATCATTAAACTTTGTGCCAATGTTCGAGTAAGTAACTGGCCCCAACACGCACATGCCGCCAGGCCCCAGACACTGTTATGCTTGGCCGCATTTGCACTTTTTCGATCGGACCAACAACAACAACAACAACAACAGCAGCAGCAGCAACAATGCCCGCCCCCGCCCCCAAAAGTGATATTTATTTATTTATCTGCACTGTTTTCCTAGATGTCAAGCATTTTAATGGAAATTATAGAAATTTGATCAACTCTGAAATCATAACGCCAGCCCCAATGCGTGTGCTGACTGACTGACTGACTACAACCACCACCAATACCATCAGCACCACCAGCACCACCAGCACCACTGCCACCGATTTTGTTGAATTGAGTTTGTTTTCCCCGGTGCTGGCGCTGGCGCTGGCGCTGCTTTTATAGAGCAACCAACATGGGGCTGCCTCGCAGGCTGGCAGGCTGGCAGGCTAGCAGGCTGCGTCTGAGGGTCTGTCTGTCAGGCCAGAACTGAGAAAAATTCTACAAAAATAACTCGCCCGTTGATAAGTGATTGACGTCTTTTAATTAAGAATTGCGCTACTCTTCGTTGCACAAACAACAACACGGGCCGCATTTAGTTTATAATACGTATGTTGAATATTTTCAGCATAATTTTGGTGCACGATATTATTTAGTTGGCGGTACAATTGTACAATATACCGATGTATATACGAGTACACATGTATACAGATACGGGGCTCTTTTTTTTTTAAAAAGCCACCGAATGATGCGCATTTTTCGGGAGCCCGGACACTTTAGACAGAGTCCCCATCACCGCGCGCCGCGTCAAAACTTGAACACGAATGTGACAGATTAAAATCCATTAAGTTGTCAAGTTGGTTGGGGCACATATAGATACATGCATATATATATATATAAATATATACATATACTCGTACATAAGTACATACACCCAGGCGATGGCGATATACAAGTATGTGGGAAACACACGAAATTAGACAAAATAAATAATTACTGAGGGGAATACTTGCAGCTATTTCCTGCAGCGACGACTTCGACTAGTGTTCAGATTGAATACGTATTTACGTGTGTGTGTGTGTGTGTGTGTGTGTGTGTGTGTGTGTGTGTGTGTGTGTGGTCAAGTCAAGCTCGGGCATTAACACGTTTATAATGCAACTTGCTGCCCGCTCCTCCACCTCTACCATTGCCATTGTCCATGTGTAAATAAATGTGCAATGCATGCAACTTGAAGCTTGTCTTGTGTTTGTGTGCGAAAAGCTATGAGCTCTTTGGGGCAGTTGAAAGCGACCAAACGACATTCAATCCCCTGCCTTACAGTGGTTCCAAATCAAAGCTTAGCTACACACAATTGGACAAAGGTACACACATGCTTAGGCACTCGTAACCCCAACTCTCAATGTCTGTAAAGATCGGGTTGTACGGTAAGATAAACTGAATCTAAGTACATTCTTGCTGAAACTGGCACTTTTAACAAACTAAGCAAGTTGGAGTTTCAGTGTGGAAGGCTTTCCAAAACGTACTTCTATATTTGAGAGAACTTAGTCATGCAATAATAGGTAGGATGCCGCAAATCTTGTATTTGAAACCGTGCAGGTATATACGTTTTTGAGTTGAAAATATTTGTAGTTCGTTTAGCTACCTGCTTTAATATATTCGTTTTTTCTTTTTTCAAGTATATAAAAATCTTTAGTTTTGTTGCGGCTATATACTGAATATAAACGTAATTCCATTTATTGGCCTAACATGTAACTCAAATGTTATGAATATCATCACCTGCTCTTAACCGAACTGTCTCTTCTCTTGAGAAAAGCATCTCTTTTCAGCCATCTCCGGAATCTCTTGCCAGGCATAGCTTGCCGAACTGGCTAATAAATCTTCGCCCACCGGATCTGAGATTCAGTTTTGCTTCTTTCCCTCCTTAATGTACATATTAATATACATTTTTTAATTCTCAAAATTAGCTTTTAACTAATTCAATGCATTCTCTGTAACATTTTTTCTTTTTATTTGGTAGATCTATTGTCGCCGCTGATCACACATTGCTGTGAATAGCTAGCCTATGGACAATTATGGATATTAGATATTATTGTAATTTGATTTCATTTCTCCCGCTTAGGCTTTCCTAACTTATAAGACTATTTATAACTTTTATATTAAAAAATTGAATAAAATAAAAACATTTTTTAAATTAATTACTAAAGCTACCTCTATATTTTCTTTCGATAATATCGAATAGAAGTATCCCCACTTCTCTGATGCGACAAATATGGAATGGGGAAGCTTACTCCTTCCTCTCTGAATTTGTTCAGGAAGGTGTCGACTCGACACTACTGTACGCCTCTGCCTCTCCGATTTGTACGTACATATGTACAGTACTCGCATAGTATAGTACTTGTATGTATGTTTGCCAGCCCCTTTGGCCAACTTCTGCATGTACGTGTATGTATGTGTGTGTGTGTATGGAAAATTGCATGTGTGTGCGTTTCGTATATTGGGTTATGGGTTTATGTTATTTAAACACATTGCGAGCAAAGGAAAATATGTAATTAAGCTGGTTGGCTCTTTCTTTTCTTTGCACGCTTTGCATGCATTTGTTTTCTTTTTCTCATTAGTACCCGTCCCGTGCCAGCGTGTGAGTGTGTATGTGTGTGTGTGTGTGTGTGTGCATTTCTTATGCATGTCGTAAATGCAAATATCAACAAATTTAATGCACTCTTCGGCCTGGTCATGAGTGAGACTCTGGCAAATATTTCGCGCCGTCAACTAGAAGCCAAGCACAGACAGGAAGAAATCTTGGCCCGACCAAAGGCTCATTGATAAGGAAGCGGAAAGGAAATGCTTTTCAATGAATTGTGAATGCCAAAACTTGCATGCAGCAAGCAAGAGCATGCAGCCGAAATGTCAAAAGCATTCGGCGTTTAAAAATAGCATTTCCTATGTGCCTGCGCCTACAATTTTTAAGTACCAATATGCATATGTTTCCCCATCCACGGTTCGCGCCGAACCCCGAGCCCCTTTGGCATCGAAGTGTTTTTGATTTGAAGTGTCAGTGTGACAGTAATTTGAAGTGACAATCTGACAAAATGCAGAATACTCGTAATGATTTCTTTTCTTGGCCATTGCACCGCATTTTCCGTTATAACATATTTTCATTATTATTACCATTTCTTGTTGTTTTCTTTACGAATTCGTGCATATTTTAATGTCGGGCCCCAAACGCGATGCGGCTCTTTGCGCAAAGTGTAAGAAAATTTATTCAATTAACATAATTTGAGTCACTCGTGCACACTTTCGGTTTGCTGAGTCACCATCAACCATCACCCGTCAACCGTCAACCCAAACGTACACACTCGTATGCAAATGCCCGGGCACTTGGTACTCTATAGTTGGTACTTGGTGTGCCAATGAGCTACAGAAGTGCTTAGATGCAAGCAGCCAAGAACAAAGTGAAAGACAACGATCGACGATCTGTCCACAATCAACTGTCGTCTGTCGACAGTCCACAGTGCCATAGTCAGTGATGGCAGCGGGTTTCAAGTGATTATTAGTTCGCTGCACTTCTAATTATGAACTTACCGCGCTTTTGCATAAACGAAAACAGATCATCCAGGAACTCCTTACGCTTGGGGTCATCATTTATTTCGTAGAGCTGCAAATACATGGGGAACAAAGAGAACAAATTATAAGCATACTTGTATTATCTATCGAACAATGGCCTAAATATCACACTTGACTCTGGCCAATAGTTGCCCACAGAATTGTTACAAAATGGTCGCTATTGTTATCATGTTATGATGTTTTCCCATTGCCCAACTACAATAGGTATTTTGACATGCGTCGTCGCCCCGCTTCTATCCCCTGGGCCACAGAATGGCACAAAGGGCGCGCGTGCGTCTCAGATAATACTATAGAGTATTGGGGGTTGGAAATCGCTTCTGGCACTGGCAATGTGTGAAGAGCGCTCAATGAGCGGCAAAAGGTCAAAGGTGTTTGTGGTGAGCTAACAAGAGGTGCGTATAGCAGAGGCAACAATGTATCACAATGCATAATTGGGCGTTATGTACAAGTATACATGAGGAAAGAGTATGTACAAGTAGGACCACCCATCCATAACAGGGTTGATGATGCCTCTACCTTTAGGGAGTGTCATTTATGTACATACGTATAAACAGTTTGACAATTGTAACTATGACGCTTTATCATCTGTCTCAGCCTCAGCATTTGTATTTGAGACTATTATGTCTGTAGCATCAAATGATGGCCGCTTCCACTACTCACTTGAGCTCCGAATTGATATTTCATTTCGTCTAACTTCATAATTGATCTTGTGCTATCTTCAATGTTTTGATAATAATTAAGGGCCATTAGATTCGCCGGGTTTCTCCTTCGTAGGGACACTGCCTGTAATGGAGTCTGTGCCGAACTAGCACGCCCATCCTCAGGCATTCCATTTGCCTTGGAATTGCCAGCAGCCTGTATAGTAGTCTCATCTAATTCTTCTGGGGTATCATTTCTTTTGGATTTGATCGACTTTCGATTGCGCTGTCCAATTAATAATTTCTTTGGAGGCATATTTTTGATATTTTATGTTTCTGATTATGTTCTCAGTTGACAATTAAATTATGGGTTTGAATTGAATTTACTTGATCGAATGAAAACTTCAATCGAAATATTTGTGTATAAACAAGATTCGTACACCTAGTAACCGTCTCCTACTCAATTAAAATGTTGCCTATGACAATCCTCTTTTGAGTGCTAACGCAGGGGAAGACGATTAAAATAATTACTCGAAGTAGTGTAGCCTCCCATACTAGTTTTCTTTTCGACACATTATCGGATCTGAATGTTTCTGTTGTTAATTAGAAGGGCTTTGCTTGAACCCTATGAACTGCTAGACTTCCTTGTATTATTTTGAGCTGATCATTATAGTAGAAACCCAACAACAACGCTCACATATAAAATTAATGACAACATCTGAGTGAACTCATCAAATTTGGAATTCATCATACTTTCCGCCTACTGCAAAGGCAAAGGCAAAGACAGTCAGGCAGCCCAGCATACTCGTATGTACATACATACATACATATACGTAGGTAGGATATACTATATATGAAATATCTGCATTTGTGCAAGTATGGCTGTAGCTCTGGCTGTGGATATGGCTATGGCTGTGACTTTGGCTTTGGCTTTGGGTATGGGTGAACATTCTAAGTCAACGAATGATGAACTGCCTTCCTTCCACTCGCATAAATGATTTAAAACTTTGCTGTTCATCGTATGACCAAAGTTACAGCAAGGCAGTCACAACACTCACACACACACACACTCACACACAAACACACTCATACAGTCATCACACACACATGTACAATCACAGTAAGTCAGCCATGAAGCCGCACTTCGATTTGAAGCTCGAGTTCAAAAAGTTGTTGGCTGCCTTCTTGTCCTCGCTTTACTGACGAACTGCTTCACTGACTGAATGACTGGTTGTATGGCTGGATGTTTTTTATGATGCACGACGCCCACAAGAGTTATAGTATATTCTTTATATTTCTTTGTCCCGGGCACAGGAATTGATTGAAGTTCAACTTGAAGTCTGCGCATTCTTTTTACACTCTTCCTCCGATTGGGCTGAGGATTTATTTTATTTCACAGTCTGTGGCGGGCATGCCAATTTTTAATTAAAGTTTGTTCGCTTGCCATTCGCTTTAATGATTGCATATCAATAATTTATAATTTATGTGCGTGCTGCCCGCCGGCATTAGTTCTAATTAATACCTCCTGTATTTGATCCTCGGAAATGAGCATCTTGATCAACTTATTTTTTTCTTCACTTTCACTTTTTCGAGTATCTTCTTTTCACTTGTGCCACAGCTTTCCACTCGCACACGATTGTCAATTGAATGTAATTTCTGATCTGAATCAATGATGAATAAACGATATTACTATATAGGTATGTATGTATGTATGTATATATAGCCCTGCATTGATCAACGCGACGATGCAACGCCATCAAAGGTCGTTTATCAACTAAAAATATGGCAGAGTCGCATCGCAAGCAGAGTCGCATAATACGCACAAATCAAAACGACAAACACGCTCACACACACACACACACGCACAAGCACACCCAAGTGCACTCACACACACACACACACACAAAGGGAATATTTAATCACTCTGTCTGCTGCTGCCTGTGTCTGGGCCTGGATATGTACATATGTGTGTGTGCGTTTGTTTGCCTGCTGCCCGTCGATGCATGGGTATTAATAATAATAAAATAAAATAAAATGAAGTCCGTCCGCTTAACAGTTAACAGTGAACAGTGCGCAGTGAAATATCGAAACTGCCAGAGCAGCAACCCTTGTGGAAAAACCTGACCGACCCTGCCGCTCCGCTTGCATCACAGCAGCGCAGACCGCGGCCGCAAATCCGCCTGAGCCCCGTCCTCTCGCCGGCATCATGTGCAATAAAGCGATAAAACGTACCCTAACCGAGAAGTTGTAGACCAATCATAATCGTTTTTATAACTAAATCACTAACTGTCCTTCTGCCTGAAACCTAGGCACATGGCACACACACACACACACACACACACATAATGTACATCTATGTATGTACATATGTACATCTTTGGTTATAAAAATAATCTCACTTATTTGTCTTGAGCATTTTGCCTAGAAATTGAGAAACGATTTGTGCTTGAAATTTGAATCCTTGATTCTTGGAAAAATTCTGAAATGCATTTCGTCTGATCAAGTCCTTGTCCATGCTGGCTGTACCGCAGCTGTATGCGTGCGTGTATGTGCGTGTATGTGCGTGTATGTGTGTGTGTGTGTAATTTATAACTATCAGCTACACATGGCAAGGCTACTAAAATGCCATAATCCACAGCTATACCGTTACACATGCCCTGGTGTTAAGTGCTATCTGTACAGTATACGATGCGCATAATTCGACCGTCTCACATTTATTTGAATGTGTGTGCGTGTGTGTGTGTGTGTTCGCAGCATGGCGACCAAAATGCATATGCCTGGCATATTTGCTTAAGCATTTCACACTCATTACTAAAAATGTGTTGACCACATTTTTCTCCTTTTCGCTTTTGTTTTTAATTTGCCGATATTCATTGCCTTTCTACATTATAAGTGGGTATATAATATACGAATATATGCATGTATAGTAAGTACTGGCCGATTTCAAAATGTAAAATGCCGACTTGCGTAATCATAAGGAACACTTAAACGCCATTTATCGCAGTACAATGCCGTAAATAATTATTTATACAGTGTCTGCAGATGCTGCACTAGTTACTGGGCACCACTTGCTGGAAAACTTTGGAGAAATTTGTAGACCTAAACACATAACCTGTGCCGGCCACCACACTCTCCAGATTGAAGTTGAAGCTGCAGATAAAAAATTTCCCCACAACCTGGATGCTGATTACATTAGAAGTTTGCGAAATTTGTAAGGAATATGTGTTCAATTATTTGAACAACACCATATAGAATACAATGTAGGTAGTACTCTATAATATGTTGATTTCTAAATACTATATATCGGCCTATTCTGTCTTTTAAGTCTTATTTACAAATATCATTCGCTACTTATTTTTAAGGAAAATACTGAATAATCGACCTTCTTAGTACAACCAACATTTTGGCTTCTATTTACACTTCAACTTGGTGCTACATAAAACACTAAAGGTATATTTTGGGATTTCAGATTGGGAGTTTTAGTTATTGAAAGAGTGGTGGTGAAACACTTTTTAAAAATTTTAAAATATGTATGTCTCTATTGATTAGCATACAAGTATATTTGAATTCCAATGATTGCGCCTATTACTGTAACATTTCTGAGAGTTCTTTAATATATGAATTTTTAGTGTTGCTACTAAAAATTAATGCGACACCCCAATGCCTAAATAAACATAATCAAGATTATTAAAAATGAGAAAATTTAAGTAATGCTAAGCTGACAATATTTTCAATTTCAATTTATTGGCCTAAAAAATGGCATCTACAATATTGGAATATTAAATAATTGGTGCTTACAAATAATGGAATTTTTTAAAAAATATATAAATATATAAAAAAGTTTTAAAAGCATTGAATTTGCTCAATTTGGTGACTGTAATTTATTTATGAATTAGAATGAAATCTTTAGTCGTATGATTTTTCTTAAATATTTCTTTGTCTTTCGTATTATGCCCCAAATTAGAATGGAGAGTAACTGCCAAGAACTAATCAATTTCTACACCATTTGTTAATATATATACGAGTACATACATGTTTATAGGCACATGGTATGTATGTACTAACTAAATACAATATACTGTAATTATGAAAAATAATTAATAACCAACACGCGCCAAAGTTGTGAGCACCTTTTCTGTTCGTACGTACAAGTATATTGCGAAAACCCGAAATTGAGAATTGCGAGCTGTGGCGAATACGAGTATTTCATGCGAGTTTCAAGCGTTCTTTTCACACCAACAACAAAATACAAGTAGTACATACAAGTATGTATGTGTAAGTAAGAGCCATAAAATGAGAATAAAATAATATTGGAAAATGCTTTGGCTTTGGCTTTGGCTATAATTAAACATAATTATTCAGTATGTACAGATAATTGACATTGATTAATGAGAGCAAAAAATAAAGAAGAAAACAAAATACGAGTACACAGAGGAAATACAGCACAACGAGGAAAAATACCAAAATAATATTCCGTGTCTGCAATAGTTGACGAGCAGGCGTCCGGAGCAGTGTGTGTTAAGGAAAGGCAGCCGACAACAACAACTAAGGCAACAACAACAACACCAATATGAACAACAAACTACTTGTATGCTGTATCTTACAATTTTTGAAATGATTTTCTTTTTCCATATGCACGAAAGTACAAAAAGTCAAATTCAAAATGGCTTTTCCCTCGACAACTACACGACTACACGAGTATGCGAGTATGCGAGTAGTTGCTAGCTCGCTCGCTCAATTAACATAATTATCTTTTGGGGCGCGCAAAACGTGGCCACATTCTACAATTAATGAAAGACGCCATTTTGTTGTTGTTGAGGGCAGCACCGTGCGAGCACAGCGAACCCAACTCACACATCTACTGCTACTCGTACAGCAAATGTAAATCTGGCCGACTGCTTAAAGGGATTAGTTTGCTGGCACTGCCCATAGGAAAGCCGCAACACCTCCACGACAAGCCCGAAGATGGACTAAGTCTAAGCCGACTTCGATTTCCACATGCCAGGCGGCCTCGTTGTCATCGTAATCGCAATCGTCGTGGTCCGGGCTGTGGTGTAAGCGAAGGTGTTAAGCGTGAAGAAGCAGCTAATACTTGTAGTAGTAGTAAGATACACTCGGCGAAAACCAGAGCCATTGCAAATGAACATTTCAGATACACTGTCTCAACTTTGCAAATCTACAAATTCTGGCATGGAGTTTAATTTGAATTATTCGAGAATAACATCATTGAACATTGTTGCATGCTATTTATTTAAACTTTTCGTTCTACCATTGGTTTTAAAACCTTCCTTCACTATAAACAGCTTACTTACTAATCTGTAGACTTGGTTTGAAATTTCAAGTTTGCTCAAATGTTCAATCAGTCTGACGTTAAACAAAAATTTGAACAAGATAAACAGTACAAGGAATTTAATAAATGGAAACTAGCCTAGTCGATTGATGCATTGATGTATGTTAGCCATCAAAGGTTATTGTAGTTGCACACCAGTAGTTAGGAAAATATTGCTAATGGAATTGAGAATCGGACAAGTTGCTCTTCTTCACTTATGATGTGATACTTTTATCAACAAACTTGTGAATTGTCGGTTTATATATAAATATATTTCTTATTTTGAATAAATTAGTTGTTCAAACTGTGTTCTTCTTTCACATTGCTAGCTAAAGAACTGACTCTTAGGCGCAAAGTTTTATTTCTGCATGCAATTAAAACCGATGATGATAAGACTGAACGAAGGCAAAAACTAAATGCTTGCCTCTGGCTAAATTAACGATGGAATATATTTAAGCAAATAAGACATTTCTTTACAGTATAGTACATAAAAAATGCAATAGTCAAGACGTTCTATTGCTCCCCTCTTAGATGCAGTTTTTCTTTTAAGATATGCTTGGGTTTCAACTCTTAGGAACCTCGTTTGAAATCTGTGCTTCTGCTCTGATAATATATTATTTGTGATAATGCTCGAAATCAGTAAGCACTAGTCTAAGGAACGAGACAGGTTTAAACAGCCAATAACGTTTATTTAACACTTTAGATCCACATTTTTAAATTGGGAAGTTGTAGCTAAGCTTTTTACCGTCTGGACGATAGGCGTGTATAGTATAGTTTTGATGACATGTCTTTAATTGCAATAATACGAGTAGATTGATTGCAAAGTGCATTTTGTTCGAGTGTACTGGCCCTATGTAGCCACAGACATAATGTATTGCGTTTATGTGTGGTGCTTGCATTCGAGGGTCAAAGTTTTTATAGTGCATAGATAATGCGGGCTGTTTGATGAATAGCACACTCGCACACACATCGCCAAGGGTGTGCGCTACGTGTACGAGAGTATCTGAGAGATGTAGGTAGGTAGGTAGTATGTATACTCGTAGTTCGTACACATGTGTATGTACAAAGTTAATCGAAGTTCACTTTTATGACCAAAAGCTGTTGCGGTTCACACGGCAACGCATTTTGGCAACAATTACAGGAACACAACTACATGTACAACTTCAACTACAGCATCAACTATTTTAATGATGCTATTGACCAAAATACCAAATTGTGCGCATTCACACTGCATTTTCTTGGGCTGAGCACAATTTCACGCTGCTTTGCCAAGCGAAGCGTAAAACGTTCAGCCCTTCTGGTTAGGCTCGACTCGACTCGACTCGACTGGACTGGACTCAACCATCGTCTTGGCTTGGCTTAGCAGATTTTGGCCCACTAATTAGAGCAGACTCTTCAGCAGCATGGACCGCACACAAAACTGGCCTTTTTCTCACCAAATTAACGCTCAAGATGCGCCAACCATTAATTGCTCAATTGCAGCGAAGCTAGCAGCAGCAGCGGTTGAGGCAGCAGAGAAACCGGAACTGGCCGCAAGGCATCGTCACAACGAGATCAAAACTTGGCGCATCTTGACGTCGACTGGGCGCGAACTGGTTCATAGCCCGTCTATTAGTTGTTAATTGATATTTTGCCTGCGCCCTGTCTTGTTTACAAGATGACCACCAGCAGCGGGGTAGGGGCAGGGGCAGGGGTAGACAAAAACAAAGAGATTAAATTGACTAACCTGTCTGACTTGTTTGTACTGCTCTTCAAAGCTCCAGCCATTATTCTGTTGCGATGAGTTGGAAGCCTCACTGGATGTCGATGAGTTTGATGCGGAATTAGCTGTGAAGTGGCACGAGTTCATTTCAATTTAGTTACATTTTCGTAAGTACTACGCCCGAATTTGCATACGTGTATGTGAGGGTGTGGGTTAAGTATCTATACTAAGAAATGATATGCCAGCCATACTCTTATTAGTTGGTACTAACCGTCTTTGGCGCTGGGCGCTGTTGGCGATGCAAATGAGAAGGGATGGGCATTGGCATTGGCATTGCTGTTGCCGCCAGTGTTGTTGTTATTGCTGCTGCTGCTATTATTGTTGTTGTTGGTGTTGTTGCTGCCGTGGTTGCCTCCGCCGCCCCCTCCAGAGGCGGTTATACTGGCGGCGGAGCCGCCATTGTAACCATTTGTGGCTGCCGTGCTGCCATTTGTTGAGCTCGTTGTGCCCAGTCCAGACGTCGCATGGCCATGACCGAAGGAAGCAGCTGCCGCAGCGACAACCGAGTTGTGTGGCAGTGGAAAGGCCGAATTGATTGTGGTAGGCAACATGTTGGCGCCAAATGCTGCAGCATGTGCCGCTGCCGCATAGTCCTGTTCCTGTGCAAAATTTCGAGTTGAGTATGAGTTCTATCTTTATTTATGTACATACTATATACCTATATCTAGATAAACCTTATCGGCACAAAAAAAATTATGTTCTGTTGTCTCGATTTTTAAACTAAAAGCTGACAGCTCTACAAGGAGTGGAAAGAGTATAAAGCGATATGAAGGACAAATAATTGCACAGGAATTTAGCGAAAATTATTAGAATTTTCCAATTTTAAATAACAAATAATTTCAAAAAATTTCAAAATAAATATATTTGCCTATTTGTGTGAGAGAAGAGGCGACTTGAGAATAAAAACAAATAAAAGCAGTAATCATTGTTGCAGCAAATTGTAATTATCAGATAAGATATATATTTAATAATATTAGAAATGAAATGTTATTCGTTTTTAAAGGTATCTAGTTTTTTAAGAAATAAATTTAATTTAGAAATTATAAATTAATTAATTAAATTAATAAAATTAATTATTTATAATTTTAATATTTTATGGGATAAGCTATAAAATAAATTTTTAAAAGTTATAAATAAATTTAATAAATACTTGTATATGTTTAGAATTAGCAATTATTAATAAATATGTTATAATTTATTTTATAAAAAAATTATATATTTAACTTTAATTCTTTATTAAAATATAAATTTTAATATAAAAAATTTAGTAATAATGATAAAATTAGTATATTATATTGTGGATATAAATTTAAATGATAAGTTTTTATAAAGAATTCGGCAAAAATAATGTTCGCCGGTTTAACAAAAACAAAATTAATTTTAAAATAATTTTGAATTTTAAATGCTGATTTGGAGCATATTGGTTGAGGTATTGGAAAGAATTTCTAAAAATACGAGACATATAAAGGCATATCGATTCGCTTCGATTTTGCGGCAGTACAAGTATATAACCGCAACAGCTTATGTAAATTATATATTGGATTGCGATTGTGTGCTACCTACCATGAGACCCACTTTCATGTCACGCACTTGCATCTTCAGCTTCTCCAGCACATCGCTGTGCTGCAGATTTGGAATGCTGTGTAGTCCGCCGATGCTCATGAAGCTGCCCAGTGCGTTGAACGGATGATTTGGTGGCAATTGGTGATGATGGCTGCAATGTGGACAGAACATTCTTGTTGTTATATACAAAAGCAAAAAAAAAAAAAGAAGGAGCCAGTAGCTGAATGCTGGGCTCTGTTCCCGGCTACCCACCTTAACGGCAACTCTGCCTGCTGCTCGGGACTGTGAGCAAAGTTGAGACTGCCACCGTTGGTCGCGATGGTGTGACTTAAACGTGCCGCTATTGCCGCCTTGCCCCTCAACTGATGCTGGTGATGCTCCCCGTCCACAGAGTCGCAGTCACGCATCTCGTCATCTGTACGATCGCCGTGTGACTGCGAATTGAAAACAAACAAACAAACTCGAGCTCATGATGCATCCATCTGTATGTAGTGAAATAAAATTGATAGCGGCGCTTATGTCAACAAGCGGCGGAAAATTGTGGCACATGAATTGTGCCTGTGTGCCACACGCTGTGCTGGCCTAATCTGCAACAATTTGTCAATAATCGGCGCCTCTTTGCGCTTGTGGGCATAAAACGTGATCGCGTGGGTGCAACATTTACCAAATGATCGTCAACTTCATATGAAGCAGCAGCTCGTGCCAATAGAGACATTGAACATAATACCCCCCCCCTACACCAACTTCCCACTGCGACGACTATTTGCAATTGAATGTCGTTGCTGGTGTTGTATTATTGCCAGAGCCTGAAGTCAGTTAAGCAAGACGACACAACACAACACAACACAGCACAACAATGCCAGCGAAACCACTCAATAAATTAACAAAGGCAGCAACCAGCGACCAGCGACCAGCATCAGCATCAGCAGAAATGTGCCAAGAATGGCAGTCAAGCGCATTGCCCTGGTGGAGCGTTGGACTGGTGGTTACTGCCTTCCCAGAGCCCTATACTCTATGCCTAGTACTATTCCATAGTGCATAGCAAGTCCGTTCCTCGCATGGCATATCCGTGGCCACAACCGTTTCACAACCGTGTTGTTAGCCGTGACTCGGGCAAGTTGCAACTCGCAGCTCGCAACTCGCAACGGGCATCTTGCAAAGAAGTGCAACTGCAACGCTTGGCTGCCAGCCGCCGCTTTTTATGCATTTGGAGAGGTGCAAATTAAGCGCATCTGTGACTGTGTGCAAATCGGGAATTTTCAATTTAAACACAGCCAACGACGGGGCAGCAACAGCAGCAGCAACAACAACTACAACAACAACAAAGTAAGATCTGCTGCACAAAGTAAGCCAGACCAGAGCAAACCATGCCAAGCCAAGCCAGCCAGCCAGCCAGCCAGCCAGGCCAGACCCGGCCAGACCATTGCATCGCATCACCTCACATCTCAATATGCCACTTATAGTATATGTTCATACATATGTACACACACACACATACATATGTGTGTACAGCATTTATCGCCAACATCGACATCAGCGTTGTCGTCGTCTGCGCGCTGTAATCATAAATGCAACCAAACATAGACAATACCAGGTCATACATACATATATATATATATACATATATGTATATAGTTGTACTAACCACACATACATATGCATGGGCATCATCCTGCATAGGTGTGCTGGAGAGTTGCTTCCAAGAATTCTTTGAAGTTGGCGCAAATGCAAACGCCTTTATAGCAAAAATGTTGCACACACCATTTGGTTAACTCGAGAGATATGCGCTGCTGCGACCGCGCATAATGAAATGGGAACGTTGCGGTTGCCCACTGCCTATATGCATACATATCACACATACTGTATAGAAGCAATGCATCTGTGTGCAGCTATAGTTGTGGCCGTTGCCACGTCTGATCGCCGGCATTGGTTGTCGTCTGCTGTTGATGCTTTGACTGCCTTTCTGACTTGGTTGGTTAGTTTGTTAGTTGGCAAGTCGCATTGGTTTCTCAAGTGTGTGTGTGTGTATGTAGGTGTGTGTGTGTGTGCATCAAATTAATGTAAGTTATCGAAGTCATGCGAAATGCTGCCGCTATTGCTAAAGAGCCACAAAATAACAACACTATGCAGCAAACATTAAAATGTGTTCGGGGCCTTTATGAGCAGCTGATTAAATATTAAACAATTTTGTGAAAGTTGAACAAATATTTAATTAACAGTTACCATTGTTTGAAACCCTGCACCCAAAGGTTAAAAGAGTTTAGGTTTTTGCAACACCCAGAAGGAAGTGTGGTAGACTCCACAAAGTGTATACCTGGAGCGCAAGGATCTCCGAAAGCAGAAGATAACTTCAAGTTCGTGTTTATTTTTCGATGCATCCCCCACACCCCGCAATAAGGTTCTGGTTAGAAGCGTACTTTTGCATTTATATCGTAAATTACGAAAGCTACAATCTTCAAATCTGGCCCTAGATTCATGTAGTTTCAAGAAAGGACATCAAATTCATAGCTTGCCTTCAATACCTATGCAAACGCACCTTTTTTTTTTTAAAAAAAAAAGACTTAATTCAACGTTGGATAATAGACAACATTTAGAAAACTCCCAAAACGAAATGAATGTCAAATTACAAATATATATTTAAATTTAAAAAATAAAAACATTTAAAAAAATAACAAAAAGTTAGCATAAGTGTTGTAGTGTATATGTTAGATCGATTTTCATTAATTTTTGGATTTTCTACAACAAATGTCCATCGCTAATGGGAAGGAACTCAAACTAGAAAGCATAATACTGAGTACATAGAGACAAAGGAACGATAAAATTGAGAAACCAGAGCATATGTCGCACTCTTAATATTAAACAAGGCCTAACACATTATCTTCTCAAAGTGCGACTTCCATGTCTGTTTCTAACTTCCTGGCCGACTGACTAATGTCTGTCCAAGTCAGCCAGACTTGCTTATGTTGCTCCCATACAGTTTCGAATTAATGATCAACGAATTTGTTGCAACAATTGTGCAATTTATGGACTGTCGGCTTGAAAAGTCACATAAATTTCCAAGAATTGATAAGCTGTGCTAGTTTCTAGCCGAAAAAGACAAAAAGGAGCATTCAAAAGTGCATTAAGATGAGCTACAAAATAAAGAAAACCCCGCTACTAATGATAAACGTGCATTACAAGTATTACTCCATTTGTGCGCACATTTCCACACTACCTACAAATGTATCTATCCATGTATGTATGTACTATATGCTAGTACTTATGTATGTATGTACATTTGTATGTTTGTTGCGTTGCCCCACCCACAGGCTTCCATTGATAAGAGCAGACGCTTTGGGCCCAACTGCCAGCCACTTTTACTCCAGCGCTTTCATACGAAAAGCCAAAGACATTAAATCGCAATTAGACTAACCGCAGAAGGCCCACAAAACGCTGCACCTACCGCTATAATTGTCAGATATACTTGTATACAAGGCCCTATAACTATGCAAGTATATCTGCTATACTGTGCGAGTCTTTGTACTACATATATGTATATGTATGTATGTTTTGTGAGTTCGCATGTGTATTGTAGATGTCGTGTGGGGCCTGGGCTCTCGCTATCAACGCCATATTGCAATTTACTTTAATAGCTTTCCATGCACCGCAACAATAGCAAAAGCAAAAGCAACAGCAACAGCAACAACAATAATATGGGGGCAGAAGCAACAAAGAGCCCCGACTTGAACGATGACGATGTTGCTGCCCTCGACTGACTGACTATCTAAGCGCAAATTGTTTTTGTATAGGTAAAATATTTAATTTATTTGCCGTTGACAGTTTTTATCGCTAATTAGTTTACATTATTTTCGATAGGACCCGACGCGTCGGGTGACTGGGAAATTTTGTTTTAATTTATTATCATTGCCATTGCATTTACCATGAAGCACAAATGCAATTAAGTTAATTTTTTTCTCTCTCTCCCACTCCCTCTCCCTCGCCCAGTTCGTCTGCTTTGTTGACATGTTGTTGCTAGACAACTTATTTACAAGTAGATATAGACACAACTTGATCTACACAATTGACAAATTGTAGGAAGTTGTCAGGGTCGCCTCTGCCCTCAAATGCCGACGGCATTGCTCGGTCTCGGAGTGCCGCTTGCGGCACAGTCACAGACCATCGACGCATGTGCAACATGCTGCGCTAATTTAAAACAAAAGAACAGGCTGCTGTTGCCGCTACTTCCAGTCGCCGGATTGTTAGACATTGGAAATCCATAATGTGACAATACCATGAGCCGTGGTGAGCTGTGAATGTGAAGGGCGCAGCATGCAAACAGGATCAACTACCACCGCAAGGACGGCGGCGGTGGCAGCGAGGACAGCAGCCACAGCAGCTACAGCAGCCAGGGCGTTTATTGTGCGAAGGATTAAGATTATAAATACGAGTATCTATGTGCACACATATACGTACACATGTATGTATCTATTTGCTTGTGTGCGTGCGGTCGTTGTTTTTTTTTCATTGTTATTTCTTTTCTTTTTTTGTTTTTACACTGAATTGTAAACTATACGGCGTAATGTTGTTAGGACTTGAGTGCTCTTCGGGCGTGCTGGCGTCTTAAGTTTATTAGCGGCCTGCTTTTACAAGAAAAATTATGAGAAATATGCATAGATGGCATGGCATTGTTTTTATTGGTACTAGAAAATTTAGAAGTACTGCATATTGAGATTGATTTCGGCAATGTAATTGTTCAGTCGATTGATCTGCAGTTGATTCTACAACAAATACACCAATAAACCAATCTTTCTGAAAATAATATTAGAGCCAAGGTAAAGTCTAGCCAACAATTTAATTGCAAACAATTGATACAAATGGCTATTAAAACATTTATATAAGCTTCGAGTACTTGTATACAAAAGCTAGCAATAACGTTGCTATTCACAAGGAAACTTTTCACAACCTACAATATAGGCTAGAATTTAATTTTATTTGGGAAAGTAGTACGTTTCCGTCAAAATTATCAAACTCTTGCATCTTCAACTAAAAATAACTTTGTTGCACTAAACGTTCTTATGCTACCTATACTATTGCATTGTACAACGATTTCGATCAAACTTTAGGGCTCGTTAAACAACTCAAGAAATCAAAAGTTATCTTCTTTAAAAAAACAGTCTTTGGTAATAAGATTGATTGAACGACAACTTCATTTTTATTTTGCGATTGCAAATGTATTTTAAATATCTTTAAAAACGAAAACTGTATAAGTGGGCTGATTTCATTCTTTATTTGTAAATCAATAGATAGAACACTGCACATCCAACTTTTGAGCATCAAACCTGAATTTCTAGAACAAGAATGTTCGATTCGTTTATTGAACATAAAAGGCACTTGCCTGCAACCCTTTCATATAAAAACCTTTATGCACACACACACACACACACACTCACAGTCG